TTTGTACCTCGACGAATTTAAGCGTAGTACCATATTGGTAGCTAATAAGCTTTACAGTTGAAATTACTAGATCTAACCGTAAGTTCTATGCTAACAGTTTCTTCTCTTGCACCTCTCGCTTGTAAACCTATCTTCCAACTTCTTACTTTCCAGTCAACATTGATCTTCAAGAATTTAAATGCAATGCCATCCTTTATCTTTCTATTTCTTACACCCTATTCTTCGATTGTTTTGTCTCCTTAATACTTTTTCTGTTTCTCATATTCTATGAAAAACAGTAACGCTTTTGTGTCTTTAATGTCTTACTTGGAGGGTGGGTAGAAGTTTTATATTCGTCCATGGATCGCTAATATGCTCATTACGCCAAAGAAGAATCATTGCGTCGTGTAGAAAAATCCCGCCCTGATAGCTATCTTCATTTTCACAGAAATGCTCATGAGAATAATATGATATCATCCCTGCCTTCCAAAGCTATGGGCTAAATAACATAGTAGGTTACTGTTTCAGGCCTTAACTTACGAACAACAAATAAAGGTATTTGTGTAAAGTCATGGCTGTATACTTACTGGAAGCGTGTGCTATTTTAAAAGAATTGGTCTACCATATAAATTTCACTTTTAATGCATGTAATGCTGGGAATCGTATTAACAAACGGTGGAAAGTGCGACACGGAAATCCGAAAGCCCAATGAGATAACGAAATATGCCTTCCAGAAGCTAAGCAAAGTATTACCGTGCAGATAATTATCTTTAGGAACTAAGAAAAGAGTACTGAACTGCTACGTAGTATCATGGCATTGAATTCTGGATATTCTCCTCACATATGAAAAAAGCCTTTAAGCAGTGAGGACCGAACATATAAGAAGCGAAGAGACAATAGCTACAAAAGGACACTTAATATCAGGAAGAGATTGTTAAAGTTTCTGGAGCATGAGTAGAGATGTCTAGAAAATTTGATACCCACAGGATTGATTGAAGGCAAGTGGGGAGAGGAAATCAATGCACAACCTATCAGGCGAGCATGAGCGAATGGATGGCTGAGGAGGTTTTGGGTAATATGCTAAAAACACAAAAGTTAATAAGATTTACAAAGGACAGGATACAGTGGAGGGCCATGATCTCCAACGTTCTGAAGAGACACGACACATAGGAAGAAGTGAAAGGTATGTCCTCACACCGTAGATATTTACATAGAAGTGATTATTCACAATAACTACATTGTCATCTGCTATCAATAACATACTTATCAAACTACTAATGTTAGTATTGATTTTGCCCATATAAGACGCCATTAGAATTACCAACCCCACTCTCTTTTCCATTTTGTTTAATTTACTCGTATTGCCGACAAATCTCGTTGTGCAATCATTTTATATTGTTCATTTTTATTTCTTCGTTTTCATTTTCTCATTCATTAATTTTCTTTATTATTTATTTGAATCCATTAAGAAGAAAGAAAATGTGACGAGAAAGTAACTTCTTTAGCAGTATCGTCTGCTTCGGTCTCAATAGCTGCCTCTTATTCTCATATATGTGAGGATTATAACCACTAATGTTTGGTTGGTTAATTGAAGAAGCAGGCGGTCAGCAAACCGGAAGGCTTTTAATAAATTGACTCAGCTTCCGGGAAGCGTGAAACCAACTCGTGGAACATTAGCGTCGTTTGTTTTTAGAAGTTTGGCACTCGCAAATCAATTTAAATGGGAAAATGAAAAAAATATAAAAGATAAATATATATATATATATATATATATATATATATATATATATATATATATATATATATATATATATATATATATATATATATATATATATATATTTATATATATTCATCCCCATATGAATATATATATATATGTGAGAGAGAGAGAGAGAGAGAGAGAGAGAGAGAGAGAGAGAGAGAGAGACTTTTTTTTTTTAAAAAAAGACAGAAATCCACTTGAATGGGTAAAAATAAATAAAAAAATCTGTTATTTTTTTTTTGTTTTTTTTTTTCATCCCGGAGACAATATGTTATACATTTGAGGAAATGATCCTGACAGAGTTATACTTTAATAACAATTGTAAAAAAAAAAATATTTTTAGTCACGAGCAAAGTTAGCTTGAAAAAATTTACGATCTTATTATTTTAAATATGCAGACAAATACATACACACGCATTTCACTTTTACGTCTTCGATCTGACGAAGCTCAAAATGGGCCAAATGAATTATCGAATATTTTTACGAAATACTATACTTTCCTCAAAGTTTCTTCTAATTTTCCTTAATACAAAGAGTTAGATGAGTCTAATGGTGATTACGAAGGCAAGGCGGCTCGGAAAACTCACTCTCATCATTCTGATAAGACTCCCGACTTTGTTGGCGTGGGCCTCTGACTCAACACGGAAGCTTACATCAAGTGCGGAGGTAGTGCTGACCTGGGTCAAAAGAGTGGCTGATCGAAGACCCTATGTCTAGCAACAGGATTCCTCGACAATTTAAACGACAATTTATCCATCGCAACCTGTATAGAGATTGTATCAAAATACATTTACAAACTTTGAGGGCGGGATTCTCTCGCAAAAAAAAAAAAAAAAACAAGAAAAAAAACAATAATATTTGATGTTGGATGCCTCGGCTGTCTTCGCTCTGGAAATACAATCTAATAAAGCCGTTTACAATTCGCGAGACCGTATGTAAAAATGAATATCCTAACATTGGTAAACGGTACACTTCTCAGTACTACACACGTTAACCGTTGAAGACAGATTAGACACAGATGTACACGAAGGACAAATGTAACCTAGTCTAGGTCGCCACATGGCGACATCTCCCGTAAACTTCCTTTAAACTTAACTGAAAAAAAACTGAAGGATTTGTGGACATATGTTTATATGTTTTTGTTTTTATGTGCGGAAGCCGTCCCAAAGTTTGTAAAGGTATTTTTGATACTGGTATATATATATATATATATATATATATATATATATATATATGTACACACACACAACGACACACATACATATAGACACTGATATACGTATGACGTTCAAGAAACTCAGTTCCTACGAACCGATAGCCAGATACCAGCACATATGACATGATTATAGTGAAGGCTTTGTGCAGAAACATCCACAGTTTTTGAAATGTCGAATACAGAGACCCTGTTGCACCGCGTGCCACAAGATTCCCAAACGACCCTCCGCAGGTTTTGAATTCAGAGCTGTACTTCTCCTAGACCAGTTGCCATCCAAGGCTATTGAACCCAGTCTGTCCTGCTATTTGTCTATAGCTGGGAGTGGGGAGAAAAGGGAAGTCATAGCTTTCCCAAGGGTATTAGCACGTAAGTGAATGTAATGGATTCGACTAGAATTCGAACTCGATTCTCCGGGCCACCTTGATATATATATATATATATATATATATATATATATATATATATATATATATATATATAACAACTTTATAGATAAAAATATTCAAGTAAATGCTCTGTTTATAATAAAACAGTATTAATGACATTTACTGTTAGGGCCACCCACCTTCTCATCAGAATGGACTGATCTCTCTACTACTAATAGGACAGTTCTATAGAGTTTTGGGAGATCAGGTGACCATCACACTTCCGTCTCCCTACCGGAAGATACAGTTGGACTTTATACTCTTTCTGATTGTTACTGACTAACCTGCGTTCGTTTGACTATTAATCTCTCTGTTGTAAATACCACTTCAGATATACCAGTATTTTTCCCTACGTATGTGTTTGTCCTTATTTTAATACACGCACGGAGAAACACTCAAGATCTCAACATTTACCGGCCTGAATGTCCGGGAAATTTTTATAGAAAATATGCGTCCTCCGACAGGAATCGAACCTGTATCCTATAGGGGACCGTCATATAGCCTGACGTGCTTTACCGATTTATAAACATCAAAAAAGTCTTAAAATAATTGTCGGACTTTGTCCAGTTCATAATGTGTGACGTAATTTCTTTACATTTGGATACGCATCGAGCAGATATGAATATATGAGAGAAAATCATGGAGAATTGTGGTTTAAAAGAAGTAAAATCGATCTTGCTAAACGAAACGGTCTTCTGTGGCTAAATCAGTAAAAGCACGATTGGCTATATGACGGTTCCATATAAGATACAGGTTCGATTCCTGTCAGAGCACGCATCTATAAAAAGTAGGTATAAACATTAAAAATGTCTTAAAATAATTGTCGGACTTTGTCCATTTCATAATATATATATATATATATATATATATATATATATATATATATATATATATATATATATATATAATAAATAATTGATTTAAAAATGGGGTTTATTCCGCTACACAGTTCTAACCATGTTTCAAAAATGGAAATTAAAAGCCACGAATTTAATTTTGCTAATTGCAAAATTAAATTCATGCGGAATAAACCCCATTTTAAATCAATTAATTTATAATATATATATATATATATATATAATTAAAAAGACATTAGTTCCATTTCATCCTCAAGCGAATTTTTGGAGTATATATATATATATATATATATATATATATATATATAAAAGAAGAGAGACACCATAAACGTTTTTGGTTGTAATTTGGATTTTTTACAAATATATATTATGCTTTATTTTCTATAATTTTGCTATACGTGTTTCCGGTCTCGACACTTTCATCAGGCAAAGAGTGGATATTTCCACATATTATTAAAAGGAATTAATTTTTCTTATGTTTTTCGATGTTAAATATTCTCGATATTAGACATTTTTTTGTGTTAGTGACCCAAATGTCTTCATATATAATTTTCTTTATGAGAGAAAAACAGGAATATCCCGAGTATCTCTCTATTTAATTTCTTTTCTTCGATATTATTCAGTTTTTGTTCCATTTACATCTGTTTTTTTTAACTACGTTTTCTACCGTTTCTCTTTCAATTTTATAGATTTCCTTACCCCAGTGTATTTTGATATCATTTTTGTTATCCTTTTATCATATTTTTTGACATCTTTGCATGTTTTCGCGCGCCCCACTTTTTACTTTAACATTATATTTCCTGTTTTATTGTTTCCGCCATTCCCGCTGCGTTTACCCGGGACCGTATTAATATCTTTCATTTCATTTCTTTTCATTTTTTCCTCTTTTGTCTCCAAACGTTTTACTTAATATGAATTGCCTTCATTTTCATTCTTACTTGCATCGATTTGCCGACATTAAATATTAAAAAATAAAATCCATCTTTCCTTGTAATAAATATATTAGACTTTATCAAATGATTAATGCTTGCTTTTGTCATTTTATTTTTCACTGAGACGGGTTATTTTTATTTTATTTTAACAGCATTTTTTGTTCTATCCGCTTTTCAGCATCATTTCTGCATCCTGCACCCAGGATCTATCTATCTATCTATCTATCTATCTATCTATCTATCTATCTATCTATCTATCTATCTCAGTCTGAGCATATCTGTCTATCTGTCTGTCTCCCTCTCTCTCTCTCTCTCTATATATATATATATATATATCTTTTCTATCTATCATTCTTAGTCTGTTCATATATATCTCCTTCTGTTTATATCTATCTATCTATCCTATCTATCTATTGCAACCTGTTCATTATCTATCTATCTATCTATCTATCTATCTATCTATCTATCTATCTATCTATCTATCTATCTATTTCAATCTCTTCCGTATCTATCTATCTATCTATCTATCTATCTATCTATCTATCTATCTATCTATCTATCTATCTAAGTCGGTTCATTATCTATCTCTATCTATCTATCTATCTATCTATCTATCTAATTTGGTCAAATCTATCTATCTATCTATCTATCTATCTCATTTGGTTAAATCTATCTATCTATCTATCTCTCTATCTCTCTATCTATCTATCTATCTATCTGCCTTCTTGCCTGACTTTCTGTCTATCTCATTCAATCATATCTATCTATCTATCTATCTATCTATCTATCTATCTATCTATCTATCTATCTATCTGTCATTAGTCTATAGTGTGACACTTCGTTATTAATTGGAATTTGATACACACTTTCTATTGTATGAATTTGGACCTATTCAGTTCCTATTCAACAGCCTATTAAATGTCTTTTCGAACGCCTAGCAATTATTATGACATCTCAACCTATCGCCGTGCATTCACATAATCCTGCCAACTTGTCTATCTGCCACTCGATCTTTTTCAGGCTGTATTTAATTAAATCATTAATTAACTATTTATACCCGAAAGCCTGACTTTCGCTACAAACTCGTAATATTTTCCCTTCAGACGCTAATTCATTTCAGGTTTCTTCTTTTTAATTCATATTAATTTCTCTTTGAACAGCCGATTTCCTCGTATGTTTCTTTTAGCTATAAATCTTATTTTTTCTCTCATTTATGTTTTTCGCACTATTTTCTGTCAGAATTTTTAATATTTTCGTTTTGCCGAATTATTCATTGCCTGATTCAATCTATAATACTCTATATAAATTAAAAAAGCACTTCAAATACCTCGGTTTATGAATCGTTTATAATAAAGTTGTTATACAAGATAACGGAATTGAATATAGAATAGGCTGCGGTAAGGATAGTTTCGCACAATACCGCAAACAGATACAAAACCAAAACATTAGCCTAAAAATTTGTGCCGTTTTTTTTTTTTGTTTTTTTTAAGCCTAGTCAAAAGAAACTTTGATATGGATGTCAGAGATGGTGCCAAACTCGTTAAGAAATATCTAAACGGTCAGCTGTATGTTTTCTCAGATCAATGTTTAAAATGTCTTCGAGAAAATGAAGACAGTCCGAAAATTCAAAACTTGGGTATTGGCCCTAGATAATCCCCCACAAAAAAATAAAATAAAAAATAAATAAAATGAAATAAAAATAGACACCCCATTACTTGAGGACATTCAACAGCTCTAGCAACTAAAATGGATATGACTAGAAATTCTCAGGGAAATTAATGATAAAATCAATATGCTGACACCCCCCGCCCCTCAATACTGGAAAGGGGAATTGGAATTAATGGTGTGGAGAATTCTATTTTTGCTTGAAAATTGTCTTAAGAAAAATAGTTTATAAATTCCAACCTGACGGTAGCACTGGTTTGTCTATCAGTTAATGTTGTGTCCTGGATGTGACGATAAACTACATCCGACAGCAGGGCCCATAATCGGAAGATTGAATGCTTTGAGGAAAATGGAACCCCCTCTTAATTGTTGTTCTTCCCAGGTCCACCCTGATCCGGGTTGGTAGCACTTGTTAGGTTCCCAGCTATGGGCAAACATTAAACCACGAAACAAAACACTAAAGTATAACAATACATTTTATAGCAAAAATAACAGCATTGCTAGACAGTATGACTTTTTTTCTTAAACCGCGCACTTTTCTAAATCTTGTAATAATAATAATAATAATAATAATAATAATACTCCCTGCTGACTGGAATGTATCTTTGAAGATATTCAAAAAGCTGTCAAAATATGAAAACCTTGAAATAGAAATCTCAAAAATGTGGCATATGGGAACAACAACAATCCCTGTTGTAGTTGGAGCCCTAGGATTGGTTGGAAAAGATTCCAGTAGACTAATTGAAGGGATTCCTGGAAGTCCATGCCTCAAAGAGATAAAAAAAATTGTTCTGACAAGTACAGCCCAAACTTTACGAAGAGCTTTATCCATATAATTTTTTTTTCTTTTTTTGTCAGTGGAAAGTGTCATGATGCCATTTCTAACATTAGGTCCCTGGGCGGGACCCGGAAAGAAATGAGTAAACGCCAGAAATCAAAGAAAATAAAAATGATAATAATAATAATAATAATAATCAAACAGTATAATAATTGTCAATGTGTATTTAGCTATATATTTACTATCTATCTGTAGTGAAATGGAAGATAAATCGAGTTTGTAAATTTCTAAGTGATTACTTCCCTTTGCCGTTTTAATAATCTATACAATTAAAATATTTATCTGCATTTGGACAAAATTAGTTCTCGAGCAAAATAACATTTTTAATTAATCAGTTCTTTTACTTCTACGTTTCATAGATTGTAGTCTTATTTGTTCAAGTATTTTTTTTTAAGTGAAGCACTCAGATAACTTTATTTATTAAGTGATGGTCTTGTTTCAAATTGGCCTTGAAATAGGCTTTGTCGCTGCCGTATTTATTGTTCTCTTGCTAAACTTTTTCTTCCTGGGGTATTCTCAACTCTTATACTTCCTGGGGTATTCCCAAGTCTTATACCAAACATATAATTTTTAACATGAAAATCTATTGAGTAAAAAACAACTAATATAATACTAGGAATAATCAATGACTCATAGCATTGAAAATTTTAAAAAAACATAAAGAGGACTGTCTCATTAAATGATTCATTGGCCTTTATTTGAGTTGTTAATGTTTTTTTTATATCCCCGCTATATTGAATCTCAATACATTGTTTCAAGACTTTTTTTTCATTGTATCTCACGTTTAAAACTTTTTTTTAAAGCAATAGCAGTAATTGTCTATATTTCTGAGATGAGGTATTATGTACATTATTTACATTATTCGGACTATTGTCCTCATCTTTGACGTCATATTTATTACAACGTTTCGGCCGTTGTACGCTCCGTCTCTGGAATCTGCATCTCTGAATGTCACAGTGGATAAAAGCATTAGTTAGATCTAGTGACAGGACCCAAAGAGTGTGAGTTCAATACCTGGCTAGGGCAGTGGAGAACTTTCATAGGGAAATTGACAGGAGATAACTGATAACAGACAACCATTAAACATGGCACGTGGAAGTAGAACAATCTCCTCCAGTGAGCGAAATAAAGCGTTCCGTTCGACATTCCAACCACCTGAAGAAGGCTGGAGCGTACAACGGCCGAAACGTTGTAATAAATATGGCGACAAAGATGAGAACAATAGTCCGAATAATGTAAATAAAATAGTTGTAATTTTTGACGGCACATTAATAATACTATAATAGTCTTATTCTAAACTCATTATCTCTATCTCTTTTTTATCAGGTTTTTATCTTGATAGTAGATGTTAGTATATAAATGTGCTATTTTGATGAAATGTTATAGGCTACCGTATATATTACGATCAGTACCACTTGTTGCTTTTCATTTGCCTGGGCATAATCAATTGTGCCTGTCTCCTAGGAGGGGAAAAAAGCAGTATAAATGCCTGTTGATGAGCAGAAGTTGTTGGGAAGTATTACGACGGCGGTTAGAGTCACGATGAGTCGCCCCAGGCAATTACGAGTCACTACTAAAAACACCGTCAAAGTGAGACTATCTGTGTTAACCGATCTGAACGTATTTGTAACTGGGCTCCACTTGCTAGTTAGTCAAAATCTTTTACTACATCACACATACTTGGCTTATCTCATTAGGAGACATGATAAATATATTAGATTCGTTTGAGACTCTTATATGGCAGTAAATGATGGACAATCTCTTTGCCGATGAAGTAGAGATTTTAGGCAAAAAAAAATATAGTTCAACAGAAAGATGTTTAGAATACCGTAGACTGAAAATATGATCAACGATGAAGTCTTGGAAAGGAAAAGGACACATACTTAGAATCAGAAAAATAGTTTCTAGTGAAAATAATGAAGAAAGAGGGCTTAGAAAAGTTAACACTCGCAGGACGTATTGAATGGAAAAAGGAAATAGGAAACTTACCTAACGACCTTGTGGAAATGGTCGGCAGAACAAGGATTAGAAGGAATCTCAAAAAGCGAAAATTTACTAAACAGTACAAAGGAAAGGATATTGTGGAGAGCCATGATCACCCACGTCGTGAATGGCACACCACGTAGAACATAGAGCTGACTGCTGAAAACTTTCCTCTCCAAAAGGCAGTGCCTGCTCCTATTTATAGCTGGGACAGTCAATGCGTGCGTGGGTAAATCACCATAACACACACACACACACACTTATTATTAAACGAAGAAAGAAATTCACAATATTGATCCATATTTTTTAATCCAATCTAAGCTTTCAGCTTACATAAGCCATTATCTCTCTCTCTCTATATATATATATATATATCAGTATCACTTGGTGTTTTCTCACCCAATAATTAATAGTCGGAATAACTTCATTTCTTTCGTTTTCCATATATATGGTTAATTTCCACTCAGTTTTTTTTATCGTTTCACCCCCAAAGAAGGCAATAAAGCCACTAAGACACAAGGGGGTTACTGAGTATGAGAGAATATGAGAAAAAAGTAAACAGTATTAAGGAGATAGAACAGTAAAGGAAAAGAATTAATAAAACGATTGAAACTTCACTTCAAGTTTTGAAGATCAAAGCTGTATGAAAAGAAAACGTGAGAGAGTTCCATAAACAAAAAAATGCAAAGGAAGAAACGGTTGGCATAGAACTTACGGTTGCAATTAGCTATTTTAACCGGAAAAGGATGAGACCTTGCTGCCATCTTAGCACTGCGCTTAAATTTATTGAGGTACCAAAGAAGAAAACTTACCGGAATAATTACCATGAAAATATTTATAGAAAACGCAAAGAAACTACGTTTGAGCAGGGGGAAAGTGACTAAAGACGTGATGCCAGGTCACGACCAATACCATTGTAGATTCTTCTCTGTATTTTAGCTAGAATATATAAATGTATAGCAGAAGTGCTAGGGTGGATGTGGCAGCAATATTCAATGCCTGGACGAATAATAGACATATACCTATGGAGAGATAGATTCCGACGAAAAAAAATCTTTTTAAAACAATTTCCAACAAATTTCAATTAATGGAATAGCCTGAACACTAAAATCTTAACCTTTTCTAATGAAAGGTTTATCTGCTTAACTGCCTGCCTGTCTATCTACCTATCTATCTATTATTCTTTTTTATCTATCTATCTATCTATCTATCTATCTATCTATCTATCTATCTATCTATCCTTTTTTTATCTATCCATCTCTTTAATAACATTATCATTAAACGAAGAAAGAAAATCACAATATCGATACATATTTTTTAATCCAATCTAAGATTTACTTTCTTCGTTTAATTATAATGTTATTAAGGTTATCAGACGTTATAAAAAAGAATTTACATAAAATAAATAGACAACACTTGTCTATATTATTTAATGAAACATGTATAAATGAAAAAATGCTGCCTAAATGCAGACAATATATATATATATATATATATATATATATATAAAGAGAGAGAGAGAGATATATTTAGTGAGCCAGACAAACCTAGGTAGGTTTGTCTGGCTCACTAGGTGTATCTAGGTCTGCTCTACGGTTGTATTGAGCGCTTTTGTTAGTTGTTTACTCGTATCGGGGTTTTTTCTTTGGGCTTCAGACCTGCATCTGTGCGATTTTTTTTTTGTCGACAGAAGTTCATGTTTGTAGCTCTTTCTTTTTAAAACCTTTTTTTGAACGTGATTGATTTGATTAGCAAATCAAAAATTGAGGGTTTTTCGAAACGAGTTTAGTTATCTATATATATATGTGTGAAAAGTGTATATAAATATAAATAAATATATATATGTATAATTATTTATATATTATATGCGCAGTACTTATTAGAAAGCGCTCAATATCAGAGATAGAGCTAACATATTTGGTTGGATAGATGTGAGTTTGTGATCCTGGGTTTCACGCTTTAGCGATCGTCAGACAAACTGATTAATGTTTTAAAAAAATTTGGGTTTTTGTAGATTGCGTGTATTGGTGTTATTGTGGAAGTGGTGGGGGGAAATTTCGTCGTTTTGTCATTCATCGTACTAACGCAAACATCGATGTATGCAGACACATGTTGTGGGAGTAATAAAGATTGTAGTGGATTATATGTTAATAGTGGGTGTGATGTGTAAGTGATGGGCTGTGTGTTGGTGGTAATGATAATATTGATAGGTAATAGATATTGTAAAGTGGTAAAAGTGATTACTAATGGTGGTGCAATTATAATAATGATAGGTGCAATTATTTTGATGGTATCTTGAAATTAAATTGTGATTGTTGGTGGTTTGTCTGTTTTATCCGTTTGGTATAAATTCGGATAATAGGTACTTGTTCTCATGCCTACATTTGGAGATTATCTCTGATTTTTTAGCAAGTTCTTTTGCGGTTTGTGTGATATTATTGCTACTTTTTCGTGTAGGCAAAGTAGGCATTTTTTTCGTAATGTTGTTGTAGGCAGAGGCTTTATTCAATATTTCCCAACTTATTGTTGGTGTGATGTTTTTGTCTTTTTGCTGCCATATGTATGTAGAAAGTGTTGTGCTGTTCGAATATTTCCTGATGTTGAATGAAAGGTTGTGATTGTTATTCCTCATCTTGAATGGACCTTCGGTGGCACCGATGTAGTGCATAGTGTTGTTGTTTGTACTTACCTTGGCCTTGTATATTGTGTTCGTAATTTGGCAATTTCCCTGGAGTGGACATGTTGTTCTGTTTCTGCAGTTACATATTGGATCCTTGGTTACATTTTTTTAGGTTGTCATTTTTTGTTGTGGTTTTTGATTATTTCTGTTATGTTTTTTGTACAGCTGTAACTGATCTTCATGTTATTTTTTGTTAAATATTTTGATAATTTGTTTTCTTCAGTGAAGTGTTTTTCATGAAGTTTAGGAATATTTTGCCTATGTTCGTTTTAACAGTTTTGTTATATGGTGGATTAAACCAGATAATGTTTCTCTTTCTGTTTCTGCGTTTTGGCTGTGGAGGTATATATTGTAGTTGTTGTGTGTAACCACTTGCTTTTAGTGCTTCGTTGTATGGTGCTATTTTGCTATTGAAAATGCGCTTTCTAATAAGTACTGCGCATATAATATATAAATAATTATACATATATATATTTATTTATATTTATATACCTTTTCACATATATATATATATATATATATATATATAGGTAGATAACTAAACTCGTTTGTCTGGCTCACTAGGTGTATATCTCTCTCTCTCTCTATATATATATATATATATATATATATATATATATATATATATATATATATATATTGTCTGCATTTAGGCAGTATTTTTTCATTTATACATGTTTCATTAAATAATATAAACACGTGTTGTCTATTTATTTTATGTAAATTCTTTTCATAACGTCTGATAACCTTAATAACATTATTATTAAACGAAGAAAGTAAATCTTAGATTGGATTAAAAAATATGTATCAATATTGTGCTTTTCTTTCTTCGTTCAAAAAATAATGTTATTAAAGAGATAGATAGATAAAAAAAGAATAGTAGATAGATAGGTAGATAGACAGGCAGGCAGTTAAGCAGATAAACCTTTCATTAGAAAAGGTTAAGATTTTAGTGTTCAGGCTATTCCATTAATTGAAATTTGTTGGAAATTGTTTTAAAAAAGTTTTTTTTTTCGCCGGAATCTATCTCTCCATAGATATATGTCTATTATTCGTCCAGGCATTGAATATTACTGCCACATCCACCCTAGCACTTCTGCTATACATTTATATATTCTAGCTAAAATACAGAGAATAATCTACAATGGTATTGGTCGTGACCTGGCATCACGGCTTTAGTCACTTTCCCCCTGCTCAAACGTAGTTTCTTTGCGTTTTCTATAAATATTTTCATGGTAATTATTCCGGTAAGTTTTCTTCTTTGGTACCTCAATAAATTTAAGCGCAGTGTTAAGATGGCAGCAAGGTCTCATCCTTTTCCGGTTAAAATAGCTAATTGCAACCGTAAGTTCTATGCCAACCGTTTCTTCCCTCGCATTTTTTCGATTATGGAACTCTCTCACGTTTTCTTAACTTTCATACAGCTTTGATCTTCAAAACTTGAAATGAAGTTTCAATCGTTTTATTAATTCTTTTCCTTTACTGTTCTATCTCCTTAATACTGTTTACTTTTTTCTCATATTCTCTCATACTCAGTAACCCCCTTGTGTCTTAGTGGCTTTATTGCCTTCTTTGGGGTGAAACGATAAAAAAAACTGAGTGGAAATTAACCATATATATGAAAACGAAAGAAATGAAGTTATTCCGACTATTAATTATTGGGTGAGAAAACACTAAGATACTGATATATATATATATATAGAGAGAGAGATAATGGCTTATGTAAGCTGAAAGCTTAGATTGGATTAAAAAATATGGATCAATATTGTGAATTTCTTTCTTCGTTTAATAATAAGTGTGTGTGTGTGTGTGTTATGGTGATTTACCCACGCACGCATTGACTGTCCCAGCTATAAATGCAAATTTTCAATAGCAAAATAGCACCATACAACGAAGCACTAAAAGCAAGTGGTTACACACAACAACTACAATATATACCTCCACAGCCAAAACGCAGAAACAGAAAGAGAAACATTATCTGGTTTAATACACCATATAACAAAACTGTTAAAACGAACATAGGCAAAATATTCCTAAACTTCATAGAAAAACACTTCACTGAAGAAAACAAATTATCAAAAATATTTAACAAAAATAACATGAAGATCAGTTACAGCTGTACAAAAAACATAACAGAAATAATCAAAACCACAACAAAAAATGTCAACCTACAAAATGTAAACAAGGATCCAATATGCAACTGCAGAAACAGAACAACATGTCCACTCCAGGGAAATTGCCAAATTACGAACACAGTATACAAGGCCAAGGTAAGTACAAACAACAACACTATGCACTACATCGGTGCCACCGAAGGTCCATTCAAGATGAGGAATAACAATCACAACCTTTCATTCAACAACAGGAAATATTCGAACAGCACAACACTTTCTACATACATATGGCAGCAAAAAGACAAAAACATCACACCAACAATAAGTTGGGAAATATTGAATAAAGCCTCTGCCTACAACAACATTACGAAAAAAATGCCTACTTTGCCTACACGAAAAAGTAGCAATAATATCACACAAACCGCAAAAGAACTTGCTAAACAAAAAATCAGAGATAATTTCCAAATGTAGGCATGAGAACAAATACCTATTATCCGAATTTATACCAAACGGATAAAACAGACAAACCACCAACAATCACAATTTAATTTCAAGATACCATCAAAATAATTGCACCTATCATTATTATAATTGCACCACCATTAGTAATCACTTTTACCACTTTACAATATCTATTACCTATCAATATTATCATTACCACCAACACACAGCCCATCACTTACACATCACACCCACTATTAACATATAATCCACTACAATCTTTATTACTCCCCCAGCATATTTAATACCTTAATACAATATGATCAGATATAATTTCCATATATAACCATGAGAACAAACACCTATTACCAGGCAGCTTTAATATAATAACAATAATAATTTTGTAATTAAAAATTATAGCAATCTTCAACTACCATAATTTTACACAGGATACCTATTATCAGGATTTATACCAAAATAAATTAATACATATAACAAAATAAAACAAAAATAAAATAAAACGCCATCAACCACTTTTTAGTTCAAGCTACCACCACTATAACTACATTCATGGTTTTATCATTCTCCCACTACCGTTACTAATCATTTCTATCAATTTGCAATTTCTCCCAATTTACAATAACTATTAGCAAAGCCTAAATAGCATTGTCTCCAATCCATTGAAACATTACTATCACATCATATCATATAGACCCGTTATTAAATTGAACCACCCTCTCACCCAGTATATTAAACATCACCATATAAATTAAACAATAAGGATTACAAATTTTTACCTGTTACATATACACAGTCACCAAAAACAAACAAATAACCAGCTTTAAATATAACAAATAAACCCCCATTTTTTTCAAAAATTTAAAGATAAATATAAATAATAATAATAATAATTTTTACCTATCATAATTTTACACAAACCCCACCACACGTACATGCGAGGGAATATTTTTCAGCGAAAAAAAAAAAAAAATACATAATATCACATGGATACATTCACGAGACATTAACGAGACATTTCCGCCACACTTCCAATGTTTAAATTTCAACATTTCAACGTACAAATGC